TATATATATATATATATATATATATATATATATGTAGTTATACACTATTGAATGTGGTTGCTCCTTTAAGTTGAAATCCTGAAATATGTGAGTGATTATATAGAAAATGTAACCCCTTCATTATTATTAACATTATGTGTAATCTTTTTGTATTCAACAATATATATTTTATATATACTGCATAAGTAGTAGGCTTACCATGACTACACAGCGTGATGGTAAAGAACACAGTATTCCAGATAAAGCAGCTACAAATCGTGGACCTAAGAAAAAAAATTAAACATTACAACTTCAATCAAAATGTATAATAATAAAAGCTGAAGACAATAGTCAAATTCATCAATTCAAATCCTCACTTACAAAAATACATTTAGTGGGTTTCTCCAAACTTTAACTATAAAAAATATTAGTCAGTTGGTCTCAGTCTTGTAGCAAAATATATATATATGTATTCGGTACTTTTTACTTTTACTTAAGTAGTCATCAACAACAGGTACTTTTACTCAAGTAAATATTTTCAGAACTTTACCCATCACTGTAAACAATTAGCAAGGCAAAATTTTCACCTAGTGAAGAAGGACTACAGAAAGGGCATGGCTTTGGTATACTTAGATTTTCAAAGGTTTCTGATAAGATGCTACACAGAACATTAGCTAAGAAAATCATATTAATGGATGTTGGGGAGAGACTAATTAACAGAACTGAAAGAGGTTAGGTAAAAAAATAGTAGTTATTAATGAATTCCAATCACTAAAGTTACTAGTGGTGTACATTAGGAATCATTGATAGGCCTTTTGTTTATTTAGATTAATGATATTGATAGGAACATATTTAGTAAAGTTTACTGATAACATTAAAATATCAGGTATTTATAAATGTATTGAGAATATGACTTGGATCAATTTGTAAATTGGGCAAAATATATGGCAAATGATCTTTAATTAGAGTAAGTGGGTTATTTTGATCTGGATCACATGCTTAATATAGATGGAAACATGTTCAATATTTTGACTGAAAAAAAAGGATCTTGGCATAGTGGTGGAAGAGTCACTCAAGTCATTGAGACAGTACTTTTTTGTCATTAATAAAGACAACAGAATTTTAGGATGTTTTTACAGACATTATTATAAGGGTTTCTATTGTTAGATAAGAGTCATTCAAGTCATTGAGACAGTACTTTTTTGTCATTAGTAAAGACAACAGAATTTTAGGATGTTTTTACAGACATTATTATAAGGGTTTCTATTGTTAGATAAGAGACATTCAAGTCATTGAGACAGTACTTTTTTGTGATTAGTAAAGACAACAGAATTTTAGGATGTTTCTACAGGCATTATTATAAGGGTTTCTATTGTTAGATAACAGTCATTCAAGTCATTGAGACAGTAATTTTTTGTCACTAGTAAAGACAAGATAATTTTAGGATGTTTTTACAGACATTATTACAAGGGTTTCTATTGTTAGATATGCTTTTTTCTATTATTCAGTAAATATAATGTAAAGACTAGTCCACTTACAAATCATGTATTTCCCCAAACTAACAATAACCACGTGAGTTAAGTATTAAACTGTGTCCTCTAGTCTTACTGTCTGCAATATCACGTGAGTTAAGTCTTAAACTGTGTCCTCTAGTCTTACTGTCTGCAATACCACGTGAGTTAAGTCTTAAACTGTGTCCTCTAGTCTTACTGTCTGCAATACCACGTGAGTTAAGTATTAAACTGTGTCCTCTAGTCTTACTGTCTGCAATATATTTTTAAGATATCATCTGGATATCTGGATTCCAGATATCCTCTATATCTATATATCCTCTATATTCCTCTATCATACCCTCCCTTGAACCCTTATCTCCATCAATAACATGTCAGGATACTAACCTATCCCAACAGAGTAACCCCTCCACACCTGAAATATCTGGTAGCTCTTCACTGAACCCTATTCAACAACTTAATATCCCACTAGAGAGAGAAAAACCCATTGATCTCCTTGCTGCAAAAAAATAATTTCTTGTATCGGAACACGAAGATCAAAATTTTTTATGTTTGTAAGTAGATTCCAAATGTTGAGACCAAAATTACATGAAATTCTGATAACTATGGAAAGAAAATAACCAATATTTTGATACTATTTGTGGAGTTTTTCAGACATTTTTTTTTCCTTCAGTAGGAGCATCCATATGTTACACTGCCATTATTAGTTATATCTTCACAATGATTAGTTAGGATAACGAAAGTCTAAACCTAATGCTTGTGTAATAATATTTACAAATTTTAAACCTAAGCTCACCTACCCTTTTAATATAGGATGACCTCTCCTCTGTAACAGATTGTAAGAAATAAACAAATTTGTACAAAGAGAATATATGTATGGTGAAATATTATCATATTTTGTTCAATTATAAACTTTGTAATCTGTTTAAAAGCTGGGTTTAGGACTGATTTTTTAAATATAATTACATAGGTACCAGGGTAGTTTTTGATTATCCCCATCAATAAAAGACCCATAATCTGGAGATACAGCTAATTAGCTCACAATGAACTTTTGTTATAGGAAAAAAAAATAATCGCAACAAGCAGTGGGTTGGATTTTAAGTTAGTGCACAAGTATAATAATCTCCGTGTTTGACAACTATGATATTAGTCTTTGCGAGTTTCACCGAAGAGAGATTAAAAAAATAATGTTCATTTCTCATGAATTAGTAGATATGTTGCCTCAAAAGTGGCACAAAACTAAATTTTACACAAGTGTATTTGCAGGACTATGTGTGTGTGTCCCTTTGTTTTCTGTATCAGTTTTGTGCTTAAATATAGAAGAGAATAATGCAAAGGAAAATTATGACCAAATATTAATAGAGATTTCACAATTTTGATGGGTTTGCTGGGATACTAACTTACTGTAGATATACTGTATTTTCTGTGTTTGAGAGTGAGTATTTTGTGGCCTTCATAAAATACATAATTTTGTTCTAATATTGAAATATAATAATCAAATGTTATTAATTTTTCCCCCCAAAACTCTCCACAATTTCCTTATGTTACTTCAAAGTCCTACAAAATAAAATTTAATGAGATTTTCATACAAGATATTCTGCTGTTGATTATTTCCAAGCTGAAGGGCTTCTTAAATACTGATACAACTGCCTGGGTCCTACCAATAAGGTCCGTTTATATGTCTGCAGCACACTACCCCTTCATGTATTTTGTGCAAATGAAAAGTTCATTATGCATTATTTTATGAAAAAAGATTTCAGATATATCTAATGAGGTCTAACCAACACCTTACAGAGAGAACTTATTCTTGTAGCACTTATGTCAGGAAAGTCTACAAATCACAACTATTGTCTGTATTGAACTAGTACACATTAGAATTGCATTTATACCAGGAAAATAAATAAATAATTATACAATGTGTACATAAAAACAATGGATGCAATTTTTGCACTAATGCCAAAGTACCTTCCATTTCCACTAATTCTAGACTTAGCATTTGTTACTTACTAAAATTTAGACAAAGGTTCGGTTGATTGGTGCAAAAATCTCTTCCACGAGTGTCTCTAATAACTTACGTCTAAATTATGATTTGCATAACTGGCCACCTACAAATCAAAATGCTGATGACAGTGTAATACTACAATATACATGCAATTTAAAAATTATCCTTTATGGAGCTAGGTGATTTAGTCATAGATACCATACGAGATGGTGTGATACAAGAGGCACTAGTGACAGTTGTGTTTTGTAACGTCTGACTTTCAGTTGACCTACAAATACACTATTAGTTTTACTAATGGTTAAAAATTAGCGTTAGTCAAGTACTACTCTATTACTATTATAAAAAACAATAACGTTAACACTATGACTAATAATAGTAATATTCGGTAATAGTTACTAATACTATATTAATAATACTCAGTAATAGTACTTCTACTAGCATTACGCAATACTATTATTACAATAATAGCAAGTAGTAAAACTAAAATTACTAATAATATTATTAACGTTGTCGTATAATTTAACCTTTTCCGAATATTGTTCACCTTTATATAACGAAGCAAGTTATTCACACTTGAAAATTTTAAAACACAGAATTAACAATAAACAGTACAATATATCCCAATCAGCTATACACCTTTTTCTGATCAATACTTACCAACTTTTATCATCATTTTGAGTTTAGCACATGACTCGACAAAACGTACTTCGCAGTGTCATCTAGTATTTCAGTTAGAAAACTGTGATAATAGTAGAGGCCGACAATAATATTTAAAACAAAGTGTACAGACTCATAAAAATGAGCATGAAATTGTCTTTAGAATAATCTCTGTGAGGTATATAGTACAGTTCATTTAACAACTAACCAACTGCTGCCGAAAAAACCTTGAAATATCAACTACTCTAGTTACCCAATTTATTTTCTATTAATAAAATTCACTTATTGTTCATGGAAGCCTACTCATACAAATAAATATAAAATCACCATGGTTAGACAAAGACATATCAAAACACCTTACATATAATACACACTCGACCATTATATGAAGCTTAGTCATATTCTTTCAATTCGTTCTTGTCTGGAGTTACGAATGAGGGGTGAAACCGTCTTAACTCAGTGGCTAGTGACATTAGTTATTATCTGTATGATGTTGTACGATTCAAGATAGACCAAGAACACAGTTGTCTGATCTTCGCATCAACCAAAGGTTCGTGTATTTTAGTACTTGGAAGAAAAAAATTACTGATTTATTAGATACGACATGATGAAAAGGTAGAACAAAAATGAACGCATTATTGAAAAAAAAAAGAAGAAGTGAAGAATGAGCAGAACAATGGATGATCATCCAGCAGAAAAAACTGTTGAGTTGTTGGAAGACTTGATGAAGTAAACTGAATGAAATAAAATAACTTGTATTTAAATTAAAACTAAATGAAATAAACTGCGTGATATGTAGATAATCATATGGTTTTTCCTGCTTTTAACTATATAGAATTTGTTTAAATATTCGTTTATTTAATGTGTATACAGTTTAACATAAACACATAGTACGAAAAACATTGTACTTGCCTTATTCTAATTACTTTTTATTTGTTCTCTATAGTAGATAATGTCTGTTTTGCCCAAATGGATGTTTAGTAACATAGCACTCATGTTTAAAGCATCAGCGACTGTAATAACCTTTGCGGGTCGAATTGATGATATCTTTATGTTACAGCCGACCAGTGCTGTGAGAAAACAAGGATTATGAGATGGCACTGTTGACTGGACAAAGAAACTGAGTTTACTTGTTGAATTAAAGTGAGTATTCTTGGTTCAGATGTATTATAATTTTATCAAGAAAATGCCATACTTTAAGGTCATCATGTTTTAGTTCTGTGGGGATCTATTTTGAAAGAGAAAGATACCTAATCATGATGAAATAGAAACAATTGTTGTTGTTTGTTTTTTGTCTACGTAAGTACATAAACTGCATTTTACTTTTGTTTGATAATAATATAGATTGCCCATTTTTAAAACTTGTCCAGTCTCATTATTTCTCATACATAAGCAAACTCAATCAAGTTTTCAAACACAAACTACTCCCTTTATTCCTTTGTCAAATCTGCTGTTATAAGAGGATCTAACTATGCAATAGCTGTAGTAAAATCAGTTCATATTAAAATACCACAAATGCAGTTAGTAAAAGAAAGTTAAAATAACTTTATTTTGAAATAAACTGAGAACTGTATAACTAATTAACTTATAATGTACATGCATAATTATCAGGCTGAACAAAGAAACGAAAACATTTACAAGACTTCACAAAACAGTTCAGGCTTTTTCAGCATCAGAAGCAAATATGGGTAAAAACTTTTTGAGATGATTTTGTGGTGTGTGTTCATACTATGCACTTTCTACCTTTTCATTTTAATGTAGAAATTTTCAAGCATTTTCATTTATTCTCAATCTATGCAGTTTATGCAAAACACGAAGCCTAGAAAAGCACCGAGTTCCCTTTTTTCTAACTACTTTTGTGCTTTAAGGATATAATACATGTTCTGCCCATGAAATAAGTTGTTTTAATGCTGCAGGTTGTGCAAGAATGTAGATGATGGGTGTGTTTGATGTTGATTACAGCCTCCTCTTTGTTGAATGAAAATGGCAAGCATGTGGTTGGTGCTAGTCACTATGGATAAATCCAATCTTCCCGTTAAGTAAGAAATGTTAGAATTAAATATAACCACATAGGACCCTAATTGAGTTAGTTGACAGGAAACCATTAACTCTACGCGTACGAGTATACCATTTTGTGCAAATGTCACAATATTTTATTGAGTTACATTCAAAATGTAATTAAACAACTTAACTATCAATCTATGTAAATGAAATTAACATTATGGTGTACATTATAATTCAAAGTTTTGTATTATTTAAGTTTTAATTCATTTATTTCAAAAGCAACATGCAAAATAAATCTTAAACTTCAGTTTTATTGCCACGTAATGCACAAGTGTTTACAAATCTTAATTTTTTGTTTCTTTAACTTGAATACTTCTCCACGTACTTCTATGCTTAATAAGAAACTAGATTAATTTCTCTGTTTACATATCTTTCTTTCAAATTCCTTAGGAAATAAATTTTGCTAACTCCTGACAGATGCCACTCCCACCTTCTATACTTAGACGAGATTTTACCTTGTCTTGGCTGGTTCCTTCTCTGGACAATATACTCTATCACTACTCAAATCATTGTAAACATTTCAACTTGAATGCAGTCAGAAGAACCATCTTCGAATTTTAACACAAGTACAGGTAATACCTTGCTGTTTTCCACTAATTTTGCTATGTAAAGTCTAGAGAATTTCTTACTATAGAACTCTGGGAACCATTAGCTCTAGTACAATTAGAAAACCATGGCTTAGTGAGTTATAGTGGCAATACAGAACACCTTCCTTTAGTTTTAACTGACTAGACAATTCCCACAGATTATGTGCATTCATCATTCTCTTCATTTTTGGTGCTGGTCAGGTTTTACCTTGTTGCATGGTAAGAATCACCCACAATATGTTGGGGTCCTTCATTTGCTCTTCCTGGAACTCCTAAAGTATTATTAGTGGCATCCATCCACCAGCAAAATCTTCTAGATTTCAACTCCCACACAGTGTCTAGGACATCCATAAACAGACAAGACCTCACCATTGGCGAGACAGTCGAATGCATTTTGATATTTGGGCCTGCGCAATAAACGATGACACAGTCAAATTCCTGCAACATTCTTATCCGATATGCTATCATCACTTCTGGATTTGTAATGTTTGTTAGTCACTTTAAAGAAGCATTATCCAGCCAAACAGTAAACCTCCTACCATAGAAGTAGTGGCAGTAGTATTTCACAAAGACTGTGGGAGGTCTTTCTTTGTCATGCAGTATCTGTATTTGTGAGCTTTTAGCATATAATTAGCTCATGTGGGTATAGTGGCACAGTCATTAGTTGATGTGTTGGCAGAGTATTGGATAGCATGGTTTGAAGCATCAGAAGAATTCTACATGGATCAGGGAGCTGATTAAACAGTCAGTTATTCTCTAAGTTGTGTTATATCCCACTACACAGGCTGAGTTGCATGATAAGTAATTCATATAAGCCATTACTCATGCTAAAAGCTGTCTTAAGTCTGCTCTGGTCATACAAATCGACTTGCCAATATCTAGAGGCCAAATCTAAAGTGTTTAACCAGTTGGAATCTTTTAACTAGTCCAATACATTCATTTATCTCCACAAAGGGAAAGGCACAATGCCAGCAAAAGTCCTATTTCTCAGAGAGATCTTCTTTTAGACTTGACATCTCTTTCATATAATCATCTCATTTCAGTTTGAAACTCTCCCTCTAGGTCGTGAATACTTTCAGTAAAAAGCATTCTTTTAAACTCGCATAAATCATTAGGAAAAACAAAATATTCCACAACAAAATCCTGTGATCATGGCATCAAAATGTCTATTTAATCTTACCAACTCTGAAGCAAGCTTGAAACTTGTGATTGCTCTCTCGTTGTATATTCCACTAAACACTCAGGGAAGTTACAATGTGGTTTAACTTTAATGACAAAACGTAATAAGGAAAACAAGTTTTAATAATGACTATACGTTACATGCCAAAATGCACATAATAACATCAACACTCAGGCAACAACCCCGTCGACCCCTGTAACAGCTTTTATGTGTTACAATGTGGTTTAACTTTAATGACAAAATGTAATAAAGAAAACAAGTTTTAATAATGACTATACGTTACATGCCAAAATGCACATAATAACATCAACACTCAGGCAACAACCCCGTCGACCCCTGTAACAGCTTTTATGTACAAGTGTTCCCTAATGGAAAGTTTAATAACTTAAACCTAATTCATCACATGAGCTGGTGATGAGGCAGCACATGTGCGAATCAGAACATTCACCACAATCGACAAAAATGAGATGGCTGGCATGTATCGAGTCCATGGCTGTATGACATAACATAGTAAGCATTTCAAACTTAGTAGTTCCATTACAAGCTGAAATGAGGAAAATGTGCTCAGTCACATCATAGGTAAGGTGAAGTTTCTACATATCATGGTAAAGTAGCAGTGGTAAGAGTATGATCTGAACTAG